GGGGGGGGTGATCAGTCGGTGCCTCCTCGCGCCGGTTTCCGCCACATGCCGGAGCCTCCGCGAGCCGGGAGAGTGAGTCCGTCCGCCGGCTGCACGCGCTCACATACCTGCCCTGCCCACCCAGCCGGAGGTGTGCTGCGCATGCGCACAGGAGGGCCGCCCCGAAGGCGGCCATTTTGTCGGTGACGGGGGGAGAGGAGAGAGGGGAGGAAGAGGAGGGCCCCACCCGCGTTTATTTACTCTTCATCATCAGTTTGGACTTTCATCTCGTTTTGTGTCTTTGTGGTGATTTTTGTCGTTTTTCTGTCTATTTGTGTCTTTATTTAAGACTGTTTGGTCATTTTTTGTTGTTTTTCTATGTTAATTTGTGTCTTTTTTATTGACTGTTTTCGTTTTTTTGTCATTTTTCTGTGTTAGTTTGTGTCTTTTCTAAAGACTGTTTGGTAAATGTTTGGCTTTTTTTTGTCATTTTTCTGTGTTAATTTGTGTCTTTTTAAGAAGTGTTTGTTATTTTTTTATTTTTTTTGTCGTTTTTCTGTGTTAATTTAGTCTTTTTTAATGACAGGTAATTTTTGGTCGTTCTGGTCGATTTTCTGTCAGTTTGTGTCTTTTTTTAAAGAGTGTTTGGTTTCTTTTGGTTTATTTGAACTGTTTTCTGTCTGAACTTGTCATTTTCTTGATTTATTTCTATGTATGAGATGATTATTTCTTTCTGTTTGTGTCTTTTTTGTTCAGAACTGATCAGTTTTTAGCTTCTCTGCGTCCCTCCACCAGGTTTTAAATCTGTTTTCTGTGTAATTGTGATCCAGTTTGTGGGTCTTTTTTTGCTGTGATGTGTGAACCAGCTGAAGCTCCCTCAGCTTTCATTCTCAGTTTCTGGTCAAAGTTTGTCCAGATTTGTTGGTTCTGTCTGATTCTGTGTGGTAACTTTATCATTTGTTAGTTTTCTCTGAGAAAAAACCTGGTTCCTCCAAACGGTCTGGTTCCTCCTGGTTCCTCCTGGTTCCTGCCGGTTCCTCTTGGTTCCCCACAGTCCCTCTAGTCTAATTTTTCCCCCGTCCCCCCCCCCCCAGGTTCCCCAAGTTCTCCCCAGTTGGACTTTCCTCTCGTTTTGTGTCTTTGGGGTGATTTTTGTCGTTTTCATGTGTTAATTTGTGTCTTTTTTAATGACTTTTTTGTCATTTTTTGTCTCTCTGTCAGTTTGTGTCTTTTTTAATGACTGGTCATTTTTGTCGTTTTTCTGTGTTAATTTGCGTCTTTTTTTAATGAGTGTGTGGTCATTTTTAGTATTTTTTGTCGTTTTTCTGTGTTAATTTGTGTCTTTTTTTATGAGTGTTTGGTCATTTTTAGTATTTTTTGTCATTTTTCTGTCGGTTTGTGTCTTTTTTTAAAGAGTGTTTGGTCATTTTTAGTATTTTTTGTCATTTTTCTGTGTTAATTTGTGTCTTTTTTAATGAGTGTTTGGCCATTTCTTGTCGTTTATAGAAGTTAGTTTATATCTTTTGTAGAAACCAGAGAAAGGACAGAGGCCGAGAGTTCCCTCCAGCCAGTCCGGTTCC